GTTGATTCCGCACAGGGTAGGACAAGCCTCGAAGCGCATTTAGGGCCAAATTTATCGAATACTTTTACAACCTACCCGTGGGACAGTGTAGGGCTTGTGCTCTTGAAACTGAAAAAGACTACCATCGAGGCTTGAGGAGACTACATACTTTGTGATATACTGATTGGCATTATGGCGACCTTGGGTGGCAATTTTCGTCACTTTGACAACTTTGCCGAAATCCACCTGGAGCCACTGGCCCTTGTTGTTATTTCCGGCCAAATATGTAGTCTGATGATTGAGTCTTCCCTTGTAAGCCTCCCAACCTGCTCCGCCATACTGGAAATTTCAATTAATAAAGAAAAAGGTCAAGGAGCCATGACCTGAAACTACCCTCTTTGCCTTTCGGGGTTGTCGCGTGCGCTTTTGCGACAACCTCTCCATTAAAAAGTTGCATATATTCGTTTTTTTCTCCTTCTGATTGTATCTGCTTTGGCTTTTAAGTGTAATTAATGGTGCAGTAGTCCATTTTACAGTTGTGCGCTTGGTTGCCAAGCCTTTGAACAGGGGTGAGGCTACGGATGACCTTGTTATGATACAAACGTTGCTGCTTTTCAAATGCGAATTACTTTGTTATCATGCTAACTAGATACTAATCTCTATCACAACATGGTCATGGTTTTACTATCTCATCCAACTAGTTTGTTGTAGTCACCCTCAAATTGAGCACGGTGGGATAAATGAATATTGAAGATATCATGATGTAGCCACCATTGGCATAATGTCTTTTGGGGAAATATTGACAAGGACCACAGCAAGCATTTGAAGGGGATATTGCTCGAGGAACAACCCATGCTGTCAAGTAAAAAGAAAATATACAAAACATTTATACATACCACAGTGGCAGCCTTCATTGCTGAGTTTGGAATCTTTCCACTTTCTATTCCCAGTGGTGCATCACAATCTAGGTATGGAAAATACCAAACGCCCAGTAAGGGAAGTAGGGACTACAACACTTTGAGAGGAGACGAATACCATCCGCAAATAGTACATAAAGAATACCAAGAAGAGACACACCTGCACAACGATAGGCATAGAGGGTGGGGAAATAATTAAATAAATAAATTATCCACTAAGCTGACCGGGTTTTTTTTTTCTGCCCTTTGTGAAGAGTTTATGCCTCCTATAAATGAATCAGGTGTCTTATTTTCCCACGATAAGGTTACTTTAAATTATGCTTCGAAAAAGTTTTGTACATACCTCCTGCCGCAAATCCTAGAAAATGAAAAGAAAAAACCCAGTTATCATGAAACATCTCTCATATCTCTTACTTTATTTTGTCTCGCTGTTGCTTTTTTTTTCGTTGGGAATTATTTGTTGGTGTATACATTTGCTGTCTGTGCCAGTACTAACTGGATGATCTCTGATTCTATCAAGTCTAATTTCAGACCAAAAGCAATATTATTTAACAATCATTCACCGCAGTGGAGGTGAATGATGGCGTTTAGTATATACTAAAACAGCAGATAGCGTTGAGGGTGCGCTCTCATTAGTTATCTCAAACTATCTCTTAGCAACTAGCGGGGGATTGGCGTCCGAAAAGATTGTGACAGCTGCAGATAGCTGCAGAATAAACGAGTTTAAATCATCTTTTTTTGTAGTATATTGTCTTACTGTTTTAGTACGTTTCTTAACAACTCCTCGCCGATGTGGAGGTGGTTAGTGATAAATGTTCACCACTAGCCACTGACACAGAAACAAATAAATTATTTTATTTCTGCTTGTATGCAAAAAATAGACCTAAATTAAACTCTTAAACCATCAATCAGCGCGCGCGAAAAGCACCATGTATTTATGAAAAAAAAATACTTCTGTGATATAATATTTTATTTCACATAACAACATTCATAAGATCAGGAAGCTAATTGATGAGAATTTGGTGTTATATCCTAACTATATCCTAAAGTTCTTACATTCTAAGGTTCTCAAGGAAAATTTCAGCAATGATCTAATGGAAGAGGAAGAGTTGCTGATTACACATTTTTAGAATGTATTCAAGGACGGGAGTTGGAAAAACTATTTTTATTTGACCAAAAGTTGTTGTCTGCTCAGAGATTTTGGTTAGGGAGATAGACAAGGATCTTAAGTTAAAGCAAGTTGTTCCTTCAATAACTTACTTCTTATACGTAAAGATATTTTATTTCGCAGTGGCTCAATCCCATCTAAGCACTGGAAACAACTCTACCTCACCCTACCCAGAGTAGGGATCATACGTGCGCCTCTCTCTGAGGCGTCTACACTGCACGCCAGCATAATTTTTTTTTCACCGAATCATTTTTTTTACTCTAGCGACGAACTTCGCCCTTTCCTTCTCACATGAATAACACTTTTCTTTGTTCCTTTTGGCGTTTTACTCGAGGCGTTTGGGAGAGTCAGTTCCTTTAACTTATCTTTTTTCAAGATATTTGACGGAGAGTTAAGTGAAAATATTAAGAGCGTTTAAAAAATATGTTCAGGTTTTTTATCGTTAAATGTTGTGTTGCTCCGGAGCATGACTGAAACACTCGGCTGAATATTACACTAAGGCATGTTACCCTAAAAGAAACCAGCAGGCGTCGCAATTTTCGGAAAATTGACGTGGACGTTGGTCTTCTTAACGAGCCGTGACGTGGCTTTCCCCTGACGAAGAGTTCTCTCAAGAAAAGCAGCATTAATGATAAAATTGCTGGCAAAATAGAGCTCAAACAAACGTTGATGTGTCTTACTTACCAACTAAAAGAAAGAGCTGCAACAACGGCAGAAACCACGCAGTACTCATCTTGTATTTCTCCAGGACTCAACCGTGTGTGAAGCGTCCCGCAGAGGAAGATAAACTTTGAAAGGAAACCCTTGACAGCTGCCTTACTTATAACTACTATTAATGAGCCAATTATTATTCCCCAGGAATTGTTCAGAGTAGTTTTTTTTTAGGGAAGTGGTCAAGTTGGCGCAATTGTTCTTACCAACATGTTCTTATTAGCATGTTTCATTAGTTTAATCATACATTAAAGTGTTAGTACGGTGTTGTTTTTCACGCGATAGGACAAAACATCTCTGCTACTTTTTTCCATGTCCTTGTATCGAAACATCTATATTTATTCCCTGTATTTTACTTTTCTCTATATGCATCATTTTTCCTCAATAAAATTATGGACGTTGTAAGACTTCTTTCCCAATACCATTGTTTTCAAAATTACCACAAATTAGAAAGCGTGCAAATAATTAGGATTCGGAAATTTATCACGTGATCAGGTAAAAATCTGTTTTCAGGCATACTTTCCTGACATAAAATCAGATAGAGAAGATAACTGACACTCAAATTTCTACTTATTACTTTAAGACGCAGCGCATAACTGCAGAAGTCATCGTGAAGGTTTCATCGTAGATGGTAAGAGTGTCTGGTTTTCTAGAATTGTCTGATGTCATTTTATATGTTAGAAATGGCTGGTTGTTAAACGGTTGAATTAAATACAGCCAAAAGACTGGCTTTACCCCTATATCTGATGTGTCCAACGAAACATTGCGAATTGGATAGGGGCTTGAAAAAGCGTTCATTTGTCTCGCCTTTAAATCGTGGCGTATTGTTATTAAATTGTAATTTGTAAATGGTAATAAGTATATTTTCGTTTTTCCTTGATCCTAATCAGTACTACAACTAACACAAGATCCTGGACTTTGCGAAAAATTCTGTGAGGGGTCTAGAATGTCCTCTGTGCTTGGAGGCAATAATGAGGGCACAAAAGTAAAAAAGGAGAAAAAAAATAGCTTGTTGCTGTAAATAATATCTTTAGTGAGCCACTGCAGAACGTTAGCCACGCGTACGTTCCATTCACACCATTTTTAATCAGCAGAAGATGCTAGGGAACATGACATTGAGTGTTTTTTTTGTTGTTTTTTTAAGACAGGTTTTGCAATTTACTATGCGCAGGAAAGTCACAATTCCCATGACAATACAACAAGAAGGATTTTGATCATTTTGTTTTGCAGGTTACAATACTTGTAAATTTAATGAACAACGTCGTCTGATATTCTTCGAGTGAACAGAAATGAGTGGCTGAAATGGTTGTCTGAAAGAAGCGAGTAATTTCTGGCGCAGGTTATCTGTATCTTTTAGCATACTAAGAGGAGCAAAATAAGCCTTATGTTAATGAAATATAAAACTTCACGTATAAATTTAGTGTATGAAAAGTTAAAAAACAGAACAATACATTTTAAAGTAAATATTTATCAGGTAATTTAGCGTTAACAACTGGGTTGAAAACGTAAATTAGCCACCGTAAAGAGTAAAAAAGCTGACGTTTCGAGCGTTAACCCTTCGTCAGAGCGATTGGAGGAATTGTGGGTTGTGTGTGGGTTTATATGCAGAAAGTGGAGCTACGCCATTGGTGGGAATATGGTGACGAGGAAACAGGAATAAATTAGTTGAATGAAAAGCGCTCATTGATTCCGTGGGGATTAAGGGAGCCGATTTGGAAGTTAAATATTTGTTCTAGTGTTTTACGGCTTTCCGAACTGCCTAGATGTAAGGAAAGGCCGCAAACTGCCATATGCTGTTTAGAATGATTAGGAAGATTAAAGTGTCTAGCAACTGGTTTGGATGCGTCCTTGTCATTTCTTTCTACGTCGCGAAGGTGTTCTCGGAATCGGTCACCTACTCGTCTTCCTGTTTCGCCAATGTATAACTTATTGCAATAAGTGCAAGTTATGCAGTAAATAACATTGATGGAGGTACACGTAAAGTGATCAATGATCTTAATGGATCTCTTGGGTCCCGATATTTTCTCTACGTTATGAATGAAAGGACAAGTTTTGCATCGTGAGCGAGCGCATTTAAAAGTTCCAGATTGGTCATTGGTTTGAAATGAACTCCTGACTAAAAAGTTGCCTATGTTTTTGTCACGTTTAAATGAAATAAGTGGGGGTTGCGAAAAGATGGTGCCAGTCTCTGAATCGTTTTGGAGTAATTTAAAATTTTTAAGAATGATAGATTTAACTGCGTGGTTGTGAGGGTGAAATTTAAGAGTAAATGGAATGCGGTCAGTGTTTTCCTTTCTTAGCCGTTTGTAGTGCTGACTGTCGATCGATTCGTTGGGCACGGTGGTGGCCCACTTGAACGACAGAAACAGGATAGCCACATTTATCGAAAAACTGGCACATTGTCTCTGATTTTTCGTAAAAATCAGAGTCGTCACTACATAAACGACGAATTCTGAGAAACTGTGAAAAAGGTATGGAGTTCTTGACGTGTGATGGATGTGAAGATGAATACAACAAGTAAC